AGCATAGCTCAATATAGGTATATGAATCAAGATTAATAATTATTTCAGTTCATTGTTCTTTATGTTCTTTGCTATTGAATCTTTTCTGTCCTGTTAGGTCATATTAGCTTTCTAAACACACAGCAATATTGTTTATTAATTTAAATCAAAGCTCAGAGCTTTTATGTTTTGCACCATGAAAAGGCTTATCACAGATATCATTTCTCTACAATTTAACTGCCATAAATGCCAGAGAAGCCTGAAGTRTTCCACCAGTGTGCATTAAGATATCCTGAAGGTTGCTGCATGTTGCGTGACTGGAAAGCATTCTCTAAGAAACTCTCAAGCCTCACGACAGGACCGCTCTGAGAAGGTGAAGTTATCTGCTTGATCCTGGGGACAAGTTCTCTCACAACTGCAAATATGAGCTTCCAGAATTGACCACGGTACTGCTTCTGAAGGGCATGTCCAGCAACTTCAAGGAATTCAAACAATGAAGTTGCAGTGTAGTCTGCTTTAGGTGGAAGGTTTAGTATYCTGGCYAGCCACACCCAACCGTGTGAGAYGCCATGAGGGTGGWTTCTTGTTGACCCCTTTGGTGGAAGAGAGGAGACTATTGCAGCATASAGCCTTATTGTACCAGAAATACGCTTCAGGTACTTATCTCTTGGCTCTATCTCACCATCTTCACATAARTAGCCTAGTTTTTTGAAATATTCTTGATCAGACATGCCTTCTGACTGTGGTATGTACATRGGAACCARGAAAGGACATTGATTATAGAAATGAGCCAAGATTAGATCACCAACATCAGGAAAGACTGACCATATCCCAATGGCTAAAGATGCTAGTGGAAATGCTGCATTGTGATTGGACGATACTTGTTGGGAGCCTTGTTTTACTATCTTAAGTGCCAGTAAATTCTTACAGTATAACTGAAAAAAAACAACATTACAGTAATAGTTAACTTTAGATATTACTCTGGTTGAGTAGCCATGGACAAACGAATTACAGACAAGGCTACTGGGAAACAATCTTTTACTTCCTCAGAGCCTCTCTACAATTCTGTTGTGCAAGTTCACTGAACCAAAATATCTACATCAATCAGCTTTTAGCACATTGCACTATTTAAAGTTCAAAATAACTTTTTTGAAACTCACCGATGCACTAGGGTGTATAGATGTTGACAGTKTATTTCCAAACGACTCTATTTGCTGGCCACTGAGAAGTTTTGCAAGATTACTAATCTTGTCAAGTAGATGTGCAGGGGACTGGTCTGATATTGTATTGATTGGAGTTGTGACTGCTCTTTGTAAAGCCATTTTAAGTTTTTTAATTGTTTTATCAGTAGTTGATGTAAGAGGTTCAATAGATTTGTTGACTTCCTCCAATAGCTTTTCAAGCCTGCCGTACTCYGATATTGAGCTGCGTGAGATGGTCGTAGACAGACTTTCTGTGGTCTTGGCAGCTTGTTCTTCCTTTTTCTTTTTTTCTTCTTGCTTTTTCCTTTCTTCTTCTTCTCTCTTTTTAGCCTCTTTTTCAGCAMTTTCTTTCTTTKCTTTTTGTTCTGCTTCARCAATAGTTTGCTTTGCATTACTGAGTAGAGTTCCCATCATACTACAGTACTGRGGTAAKTGTTCAAGAGTACYGTCTAAMGCYCTCCCAGCTGACATGCAATCATTTAAGGTATTCAAAGATAGATTTAAAACTTTTTTTGCTTCTTCRAGGATTGTTGCTATCTTGGCTCCTAGATGGTCTTTCACACTGCAACTTTTAATGGCAGCTTCCAGCTCCCTGTAAACATTCATAGTTTCATTGTGACACTTTTGAAGACATGAAAGATCTTTCCTATTTTTCTCTTGTTCTTCAGCTTGCTTYTTCTTTAATTCAAGCATTTGAACTTTTGTTGCTACTCTAGCTGCAGACCTTTCATGCTGGACTTTCAATGMTTTTTGACTWTTTGCTGTCTCTATTTCATAGTTCCTCAAATCTTGCTTCAAAACTTGAACTAATTCTAAAAACCTATTTCGTCTCTCTTCAAAATGCTGTTGAAGTTTCCGTGCTTTATCATCTTKYAGTTGCTCTGAATGCTTTTCAAAKAGTCGCTTTCTTTCTTCRAGTCTCTCTTTTGCCTCTTCTTCCATCAATTGTTCATATCGATGAAKGTATACGTGAGTCGAATCGAAACACTCCGGACCTACACTTGTGCTATCTAAAGCACWGTCCTCGTTAAATGACATTGTAATYCTCTCATTTTTAAGGGGTGCATCAGATTTGGCGTCGTTGTCCTCTAGAGCGAGATTTTTCATACTGTTAATCAGATCAAGTTGACAAGAAATGATTGGAGACTTGGGTGAACACTCGTCCAATTCTTCTCGGGTGCCTTTCCAGTTTAGATCGTACTTGAGTTTCCCTTTGGAAGTATTTCTTAATCCTTCAATAACATTCATCGTATTATAAGATTATTTTGCATTCAATATAACAAAATAAAGAGAAAAACGAAGAAAAAGCGGCCAAGATTTCCAACAAAACTCAGAAAAGACGTTGGGAGTGTGGAAGTGAGACTGCAAACTTTTAGGGCAGCGGATTGCACATGCACACACAGGAAGACCGTATGTACAAAAAAGATAAATAATTCAACTTAACTGTTTTATGGTCTTTAATCTTAACCCAATAATAACATTTATCAATATCTTATAAAAAATTCATATGAAATAAAAGGACTTTGTGATTTCTAAAGTTTTAAAAAAATTTATGACATCGTTATTTTTTTCCCCAACCATAAAATAATTATTCAGTATAAAATAATATCTTATGAAATACAGTAGATTCAAATAAACCTACAATTGTAGCTTTTAATCGAAAGAATCCTATAATTCCCAAGAAAACATGGGATTACTGTTACACATTACTAGACTCCATTGGAATGTTTGGCTTAGTTGTCATGGTACCCAGGAAGTATGAATTATCCAATGAGCTCTCTTTCTTTTGTACATGGAGCGTCATATTTCTTTTTTGAACGTTGATTTACTCAATTCAATATGGCTTCTACGTCTTCATATTTACAAACTGAGTATCATTTTTAAAGGGCTTCAAACGACATGATACGTGGTTTTGTATGATCATGCCTTCTAATTGAAGTTCGAATGTTTACAATAGTTTTGATTGATTTCTCGATTGGCAAGAGTGCTGCATGATGCATGTGTCAAAGATGACTTCCACTCGTTGGATGTTGATTACCTTCGTACAATTGAACTTTTTCGTGTCGTGGCAAGTTACTTCTGCAAAATCATTCCCTGATATGGAAAGTTTAGCAGATTATTCACCGATTAATAGCAGCACGACATGTGGGACACCAGCGATCAAAGTTTGTCGATCGTCGATACAATCWAGTTCACTAGACGTTTGCACGGAAGACACTTGCAAATTTGCCTGCTGCGATTCTTGTAGCAGTTCCAAACCTAGTTCAACTGATCTGGGTAAAGTTMAACCTAGCACCGTAGTAGGAATTACAAATGGGCCACCAAGACCAGGATCTKCAGAACAATCGTTTAGTTTYGMTTCCTCGTCTGACTCTCRTATGGATCCCCTCAATCTTGGACCTTCCATAGATTACAAGAAATTAGGTTTYACAATTAGTGTGTGGATCAAGCAAAAAGATGGCAACAAAGGGTGAGATATATTTTGTTCATATATAATTTGAATATACAAGAATGTACAAGTATAGTGTGTATTACATAATTATGACGAATGTATTCATAAATGCCTCTATAAAGTTCGTGCTTACCGATACATAACTTAATTTTTTTAATGCGTAATTGGTATTTTGATTGTGCTAAGTGACATTTGACTTTTTGTATTAAATGTAGCTATCAATCACTGGCTCAGTACTTGATTTAATGGGGTTTTTTTTAGCATCTCTTGCTGCAAATATGAAAGTTTGWTAAGTTATAAAATCGATCAATCATCTAACGTCAATTGATTCTATTCAGTCGGGTTTACATTATGGATTTCTTGAAGAGAGCTGAATTAAAATGCTTAAAGAGAACATGAGAAAGAGAGAAATTAAGAATTTTGATAATAAGAATGGAAATCCGGTGCATTTGAGGCGAATGTATTTTGGAACTCAAAGTATGTACCATGTTTTTTTACAGCACATTATTCTCTAAGACTTTAACTGATAGCACATACAAAGTTATCTATCATCTGGAGATCGAGAATTACAAGATTTGGTTCCATTACCAGTATGAACCACWAGGCAATACATCAACAATTCARCTTGTTCCTCTSCAAAGCCAGAGTCAGCATCTCAAACCCAATGAGTGGCATTTGATTACAGTGACTGYMGTTAGTAAATACYTGTCGTACTTTATTGATGGGAARTTTATTAAAGCTGCATCACTTAAAGCTGCAATAAAGGATCCTAGCGGGCGGGTACGCATTGGGCAAAGATATGGAGGTAAGTTCTCCCTAGTCCCTATACTAAAGGGTTATTAAGACCATAAACAGGGGTGTATCCAGGGGGTCACAGGGTTCCCATGCCCCCCCTTTCAAAGCTAAAAAAGTGGGAAAACATAGATTGATATGACCTCATGTTGATGTCATAGTGACAATTTGGTATGTAAGGACCCCCCACCCCCTCCCCCCTCAATGAAAATCCTGGATACACCCATGAAAACTTTGCACCAATACTATATGGTATTCAGTGAGTACTCTATCCATTATTATAATAATTCTTAAATGTTTTTTATTATTATCAATATTCACAGGCTCAAGTCAATATGAAGGTCTAATGCAAGACATATTKTTGTACAACATTGCATTAACAAACAGGTAAAAAACATAAAACCTAGATGTCTAAACTTATTTCTGACAAGGTTGGGTGGGAACTCTTGAGTAATCTTCTGTAAAACTTGTTCCATATTTTCAAAAATACTGGGATTTATTTTGGAAGCAAGGAATGAATGACAGAARATTTCCTCTGGGCTCCCAAGGATGCATTACTGCAGTCAACTATCTCATAAGCGACCACCTCAGGATAAGGAAAAAGTGGTCGCTTACGAGAGATGGTCGCTTAAGARTCGAGTGGTCGTTCAAAGAGAGTCAACTGTAGTTAATTATATTATCATACTTAAAAGGGATTGGAGTGCAAACATGAGGATCATGCCAGGTGATCAATGTTGAACAAAATGAGTAATGATTAATGCAATCCAAAAATTGATAACCTACGGACACTGGGAAATATCATTATGATATTCTGTTACACCAAGCAGTTTCAAATTGAATTATGAATCTTACTCTTGACATTCAGAGAAGTCACAGAAGCTTTCACAGGAGTTCTTCCCAAAGTGTACATTGCAAGTCAGTGTCGCTGTCCACCAGACTACCCCAAAGTAATGGAGTCAAAACCTGCTAAATGTRCAAGRAATTTAGACAATTCTGTTGGTGAAGARAAATTGCGTTTAGCTGACACAGCACATCCTATTGAACTAGCAACAGATGGAGATACTACAACRTACTGGCAGTCTACACTGACCAACACAGCAACTATATATCTTGATTTAAGATATGGAGTAATGCAGGTATATAATAAGATGAAGTTGAAGTGCACTATCTGACAATAAGAATGTTGGGTATTAAGAGATAATTTTTCTCTCAAGCTGGCATACTTATTGTCATATTGCAATACTTCAATACTGATTACCTGACTTAATGTCCCTRGAGATAAGAGAAGATTTAAATTGTCTGAATAAATGTACATGAAAATGTACATGCAGACAGGGTTAAGATCATCAGCATCATTTTTCCCATAGGGCATATCCATTATTGGCCTAGGGGCACCCCTGATGTCTAGCCCCTTATCCACCAGTGTCATAAACTAAACTAACTAAAGGCAGTTTTGCACATCATAACTTTCTGGGCTTGTAGTAATGTCAATCCCTAGATGTTTATCAAGTTTTTAATTYATTTTTCTATTTTCTCAGATTTTTTATATAATCCTCGAATTTTATGGTCCTCAACCATCAGCCATAAAAATYGAAAGGTCACATGACAATGGTCTTACCTATATGCCCTGGCAGTACTTTGCAGAAGATTGTGTCAAATCCTTTAACATGGCCAACAATGGTCCTTTACCACAACCAGATTCAGTCAACTGCTTGCAATATGACTTGTAAGTAGCGCGTGCTGTGGCTATTATGTTACTATGTTCATATTAATTGAAATAAAGTGCAAGTGTGGGAACTACACTGTAGGAAAAGACATGTGGCTGAATGCATTTTTTGATGAAGTCTTGCCATACATGATAACAATAAGATTATGCATTAGATTCACAAATGGTCATTGTTTCACCTTTAGAAGTTAATGTAGAAATAACAGCATTGGTCATGTACATGTAGTGCCCTTACTAGTATTTTTTTGTATTTTGCAGTATATTTGATTAAGGACTGGTCAGCATAAGTTAAATTATTATTTAAATATGGATCATGCTGGATACAGTCTTTAGTTCTTGTATGACTGTATGGTTTGAAGATTAAAACCTTCATTTCAATTTTTATACATTTAGGCCCCTGAAGTCTTCATTGGCCACCATTTCATTCAAGACAGAGAAGGCTCCACCTCAAGGGTCTTCTATTCCTCCACGACCATTTGGTTCTCCTTGCAGCAACTTCTACTGCTCTGAAAAACTTCTTGCRTTTGTGAARGCTAGCCATGTMAAGTTCTCATTTTTCAACCATACACTGGTTAAAAAYGATAAACATAAGTACTTTGGTTTGAACAGAATTGTTGTAGCTGGAAGGTATGTACATGATGAATAGAATAATGATGAATAGGAATAATGTTCTCTGGAACGCCTTTTAGCAGTGCCAACTATTTCAATGTTGTCAAAGTTGATGTATTGACTTGTAATTAAATCACGCATGCTAGACAGACTGAGAGATTAGATCTCYTTAACACCAGGATACCAGAGCACAAAGACACCCATGATAATTACTGACTTGCACAACAAATACAATTATTGTAGGTACTATTTGGACTTTGAATAGCGTTGGCGTATAGTCAATGGTTTTCCTTCTAAGATTATCCCTAGCATGTTGTGCACCCTGCCTCTACACTTAAATGAAACAAAAGTAAAGCAAAAATCTTTGTCAAAAAAGGAAAACTAATCTTTATTCTTAATTTTGCTGTCTAATTGTAGATGCGAATGCTTTGGTCATGCAAAGACTGCTACTTATATTAGCAGTAATGCAACACATAGTGGCAAGTGTGTTTGCCAGTGTGATGCGTCAACCTTTACTGAAGGAGAAAAGGTAGGTAGCAAATATGGCAATGTCCAATTCCTATCGAAATCATTCAAGACTTAACATGTCTATGCTTGATATCTGGTGCAAAATCAGGAAAAGTTGCCATTTCTACTGAATGAAATGTCATATATGTATAGCTCAAAATTATTGACATGTTTCGAACATTCTACAGTGTGATCGCTGCTTGCSGCTATACAACAAGAAACCCTTCCAGCGTGGTAACCTAGCCAACACCTACCCATGCATCAAGTGCGAATGCAACCAACATGCAACAAGCTGTCATTATAACAAGACACTAGACCCCTCCCCAAGCTCAAGATCCCAAGGGGGTGGAGGTGTATGCAATGATTGCCAACATAATACAACYGGTCGATATTGCCACACATGTAAAGAAACGTTTTACAGAGAAAGTGGCAAAAGCTTGAGTGCAGTCGATGTTTGCAGCTCTTGTGCATGTACAGGACCTGGTGTAATTCCCAACAAGCTAGATTGCGTTAAGGTAAGATTCTCTTTGTACATTATGATATTATCTCGTAAATTATTTAACTGAAAAGAAATTATTTCTAGGATGATACCAAACCTGGTGTAACTGCAGGTCAGTGCGAATGCAAACAGTACACTCAAGGACGACAGTGCAACCAATGTAAACCAGGCTACTTCGATTTAAAGTCTTCCCACGYGACAGGTTGCGTTACATGTGGATGTAATACAGCAGGAACGATCAGTGGCAACACATCATGTCACGCAATAACGGGTCAGTGTCACTGCAAGAGTAAAGTCATGGGAGTCAAATGCGGTACTTGCCGTCCTGGCTTTTATGGCTTGAACACCTTAGAGGTTGCGGGATGTAAAGCCTGTGGCTGCGACCCATTTGGCTCATTGAACACAACTGTCTGTAATGTTATATCTGGCAATTGTCAATGTAAAAAGGGCTCAACTGGTCGACGATGTGATAAATGTGATGATGGCTACCACAGCCTTGATGCTAATGGTTGCAARRCATGTAATTGTTCTAAAGAAGGGAGTACATTAGTCAATARATGCAASMTTAATRATGGCCAGTGTTACTGCAAACCCTACACAGAAGGTCTGCGGTGTGATCGTTGTAAATCTGGATACTTCAATATCTCAGCGTCTAATCCTGATGGGTGTGTYATATGTACATGTGAYCCSAAAGGMACTGTTGGWAAGTCACTTCAGTGYGAGGTGCAATCTGGGAATTGTACTTGTAAACGTTACGTCATTGGTAAAAACTGCAATCAGTGCCAGGTCGGAACGTACAACCTGAGCCAGAGCAATCCTGAAGGATGTCAGCGCTGTGATTGCAATGCTAAAGGGACACAGAATCCTTCTCCACCAAGTAAGTTTTTTTAGCAAAATTTCTTAACAAAAGGATACAGAAATTTGTGTAGAGGCATTCCTGCCAACACAAACTTCCAAACCCTCTGAAAAACGACATCAGTTTTTTCACAATATCCAAAAAGCACTTTAAACGCCTATTTTACTACTCTAGTGCATTATTTGCTCAAGGATTTACGAGGKTGAAGTGTTGGGGGGCTGTCCACTGCCTCTATAGACTCCCATCGGGACCCGTCTTTGTTGCCCTTTTCTTCTCCGCAAGTGCAACACCTAGCAGTGTCGTGTTCGATCAGATTCGTTTCTGATTCTCCACTAATTTTATGATATGCTAAATATCCTTTCATAACATTGTAGATGTTCTTGGATGTAGCAGTAATGGGCAGTGCGCATGCTTGAGCAATGTCGATGGGAAAAAGTGCGACGCCTGTGCCTCAGCATACTTCTGGAACCCATCAGGGAAAGGGTGTGTTGCTTGTAACTGTCACCCGACTGGAGCTGCCAGTAGGAATTGCAACATGACTTCAGGGCAATGTCAGTGTAACCCTAATATTGGAGGGCTGAGATGTGATAGATGTTTACCTGGAAATTATGGCTTTAGCTCTGGAAAGTAAGTTCCTTAATTAGAAACAATCGATTGTCAAAAAGAAAAATTAGAACAGTCTCATTTATCTGTCATAATTAATGAAAACGATTAGTGTAAATTTATATCGTTTTTAATAATTCATAGTTGTCAGCCCTGTGGTTGTAATCTTGCGGGAGTCAAAGAAAATATCTGTGATGATACGGGCAAATGTACGAGCTGCAAAGTGAACGTGGAGGGAGACAAGTGCCAAACCTGCAAAACAGGGACACAGAATCTGCAAGGCAACAACTCATATGGGTGCTCTGGAGGTATTGTGCTGTTGATGTACTATTAATAGCGCTTTTCAGCCATTTTGATTTCATTACGCGCGCACAGGAAAAAAKGGCAATAATCAGGGCTGGGCTTTCACACGTCTCGGAAAATATAATCCAATACATGCAGGCTTGTTCAAAACAGAAGAAGAAAACAAAAGACAAAAAGAGCCAATCAGAGAAATGGTTCCGCCAGGGGTGAAGACCTACTCAATAATCAATGAGAATGACTGGAGCTAAACTGTTCCAACAGTTGTTTTTTATATGTTGCATTTCTATGTCCATTTTTCGTTTAAAGGGCTACTTGGACGAAAATTGCGAAACATTAGAAAAGACTTGGRAATCRAATASACCTATCCATATGGGTGTAATAATCATGAAGCAACAGATTTCAAGAGAATATTGATGCAAATCCTTAATAATTTGGGCAAAAAATGTTGGAGTAGATGACGTCATCTACTCAATCCTTTTGTTCTTCCATTTTTAACTCGGAGATTGCGTAAGCAATCGTAGAGTTATTGGGAGGGGACAGGCTGTCACTCGATCACTTTCCTGTAAACTTCCTGTTACGTTTTCTGTAAACTTCCGGTTAATTTTCGGTTACTATAGTAACATCTGTATATTTGCATTTTGAAGAAAATTCATTTAGATGGTCTTCCTGTGTTATTTAATGTTTCCACCAAGTTTCGAACCCGCGACCTCTGGATTGAACGCCAAGCGCCTTAACCGATTGTGCCACGGTGAAATTTTAGTAGTTTTATAGGGAGCACCGCTGTTCGAGTCCAGCTTGAGACAGGACATTTTTTTCTTTTTTTCTTTTTGATGTTTTGTAGATTCTCTTTTCTTTTTCTCCTTTTTCTAATAATAACAAACATCTTTCTGCATAAAGTTTTGTTT